CATAGGCTGCTAGAGCTTGGGACGCATATCACAGCATAGATATGGGATTTACCATATAGTTTTGAGGAAAATTGCAAAAATGAAAACACATGACAAAGCCCAGCAGTTCTGCATAATTAAGAGTATCGGGATCCTAGAGTCATGCAAACACTTTTTGAGACAGGAATAGAGGATTAAGGGAGTTTTGGAAGGAGGCATCTGAAAAAAATATGGTAGAAGATCGGGATTATGTTGTCCAGGAAGCTGATGAAAAGCTGACTTTATATAATGATAAGGGGATCTATCCACCAAGAAGACATAATAATCATAAATATGTATGTTCCCAACATTTGTGCACCCAGATACATAAAGCAAACTTTATTACACCTAAATAGAGAGAGAGAGAGAGACCTCAATATAGTAATAGTTAGGGACCTGACTACCACTCCCTCAGCATTGGACAGATCATCTAAGCAACAAACCAATAGAGAAATGTAGGATTTAAACTACACTTTAGACCAATTGAATTTGGTAGATATATCTAGAACATTTCACCCAACTACTAGAGAATATACATTCTTCTCATCAGCACATGGAACATTCTCCAAGATAGAGCACATATTAGGTCACAAATCAAGTCTGAAGAAATTAAAAAATTGAAACTATTTCATGCATCTTCTCAAACCACAATGGATTAAAACTAGAAATCAATAACAAATGAAACTTTGGCAATACATGGAAATTAATGCTTCTGAATGACATATAGGTCAAACAAGAAATGACATAGGAAATCAAAAAATTTCTCAAAACTAATGATAATAATGACACTTCATACCAAAACCTAGGAAATACTGCAAAAGCGGTATTAAGAAGAATATTTATTGCAATAAATGCTTAATCAAAAGAATAGAAGGACTTCAAATAAACAACCTGACACTATATCTCAAAGATCCAGAAAAACAAGAACAATCCAGTCCCAAAGTTAGTAGACAGAAAGAAATAATTAAAATCAGAGCAGAACTAAATGAAATAGAGGCCAAAAACACAATACAAAAGATCAATGAATAAAAGTTTTTTTTTTTTTTCAAATAATAAACTGAACCCATGGCCTTGGTGTTATCAGCACTGCACTTTCCCAAGTGAGCCACGGGCCAGCCCTAAAAAGTTGTTTTTAGGAGAAGATAAACAAAATAGACAAACCATTAGCCAGACTAAAAAAAGAAGACTGAGTCCCAAATAATGAAAATCAGAAATAGAAAAGGAGACATTACAACTGATACCACAGAAATACAAAGAATCGTTATAGCTTACTATGAACAACTATATGCTAACAAATTTGAAAATATGGAGGAAAGAGACAAATTTCTGGATGCATAGAAACTAGTAAGACAGAACCAAAAAGAAATAGAAAAACTGAACAGACAAATAATGTGCAATAAGATTAAAGCAGTAATCAGAACTCTTCCAACAAAGAAAAGCCCAGGACTGGATGGCTTCACTGCTGAATTCTACCAAACCATTAAAGAGGAATTAATGCCAATTCTTTCTGAACTGTTCCAAAAAACTGAAACTGAGGCCATTCTCCTAAACTCATTCTATGAGGCCACCATCTCCCTGATACCAAAACCAGACAAAGAGACAACAAAAAAAGAAAGCCACCAGCCAATATCCTTGACAAACATAGATGCAAAAATTCTAGACAAAATACTAGCAAATAGAATACAGCAACACATCAAAAAGATTATTCATAGGGCCGGCCCATGGCTCACTCGGGAGAGTGCAGTGCTGATGGCCACAGGTTCGGATCCTATAGTGGGATGACTGGTTGGCTCACTGGCTGAGTGTGGTGCTGACAACACCAAGCTAGGGGTTAAGATCCCCTTACCAGTCATCTTTAAAAAAAAAGATTATTCATGAGGATCAAGTGGGATTCATCTTAGGGACAAAAGGATGGTTCAACATATGCAGATCAATAAATGTGGTACACCACATCAACAAAATCAAGGACAAAAACCACATGATCATCTCAATAGATAAAGAAAAAGCATTTGAGAAAATTCAACATCCCTTCATGATAAAGTCTCCCAACAAATTAGGCATGGAAGGAAGGTATCGCAACACAATAAAAACCATATATGACTAACCCACTAGCAATGTTATCCTGAATGGGGAAAAGCTAAAAACTTTTCCTTCAAGAACAGGAACAAGACAAGGATGCCCACTCTCACCACTCCTATTTAACATAGTATTTGATGTACTTGCCAGAGCATCTAGACAAGAGAAAGAAATAAAGGCATCCAAATAGGAAAAGATGAAGTCAAATTGTCTCTGTTTGCAGATGACATAGTTCTTTATATAGATAACCTGAGAAACTCTATTGAAAAACTCTTAGAGCTGATAGAAGAATTCAGTAAAGTTGCAGGATACAAAATCAGTATACAAAAATCAGCAGCATTTTTATACTACAACAACAAACTAGTAGAAAAAGAAATCAAGAAAGCTAGCTGATTTACAATAGTCACACACACACACAAACCTGGAAGTAAATTTAACCAAGGAGGTGGAAGGTCTCTACAATAAGAACTACAAGTCACTACTGAAAGAAATTAAAGAGGACACAAAATGATGGGAAGACATTCTATGATCTTGGATTGGAAGAATCAACATAGTGAAGATGTCCATACTACCAAAAGCCATCTACAGATTCAATGCAATCCCCATCAAAATAGCAATGACATTCTTCAGAGAAACAGAACAAAACAATCCTAACATTCATATGGAACAACAAAAGACCCTGAATAGCCAAAGCAATCCTGAGTGACAAACAAACAAAAAAGCCAGAGGTATCAAACTTCCTGATTTCAAACTATATTACAAAACTATAGTAACCAAAACAGCGTGGTACTGGCATAAAAACAGACATATGGCCCAATGGAACAGAATGGAGAACCCAGAATCAACCTACATATTTACAGTCAACTGATCTTTGACAAGGGCACCAAAAATATACAATGGGGAGCCTCTTCAAAAAATTGTACTGGGAAAACTGGATATCCATATGTAGAAGAACTAACCTAGATCAGTACCTCTTGCCATACACCAAAATAAACTCAAAATGGATTAAAGACTTAAATATAAGACCTGAAACTATAAAACTCCTTGAAGAAAACATAGGGAAAACACTTCAGGATGTGGGACTGGGCAAAGACTTTATGAGTAAGACTCCAAAAGCACAGAGAACAAAATAAAAAATAGCAAATGGTATTATATCAAACTAAAAAGCTTTTGTACAGCAAAGGAAAGTCAACAGAGTAAAAAGACAACCTACAGAATGGGAGAAAATATTTGCAAACTATGCATCCAATGAGGGATTAATATCCAGAATATATAAGGAACTCAAACAACTTTACAGTAAAATAACAAATAATCCAATTAAAAAATGGGCAAAGGAGCTGAATAGACATATCTCAAAGGAGGACATATGAATGGCCAACAGGTACATGCAAAAATGCTCAGCATCACTAATCAGAGAAATGCAAATCAAAACCACTTTGAGATATCATCTCACCCCAGTTAATCTGGCTATTATCAAAAAGTCAGAGAATAACAAATGCTGGTGAGGATGCAGAGAAAGGGAAACACTTGTGCACTTTTGGTGGGACTGTAAATTAGTACAGCCATTATAGAGAACAGTACGGAGTTTCCTTAAATGACTGCAGATAGAACTACCATATGATCCAGTAATCCCTCTGCTGGGTATATATCCAAAGGAATGGAAATCTTTGTGTTGAAGAGAACTTGCAGTCCCATGTTTATCACAGCTCTATTTACAATAGCCACGCTGTGGAACCAACCTAAATGTCCATTGATGGATAACTGGATAAGGAAAATATGGTATACATACACAATGGAATACTACTCAGCTGTAAAAAAGAATGAAATTCTGCCATTTATAGCAACATGGATGAGCCTGGAGAAAATTATGCTAAGTGAAACAAGCCAGGTACAGTAAGAGAAATACAGCATGTCCTCACTCCTAAGTGGGAGCTGAACTTGTAAATAAGAAAAAATATGTATATGTATATATAGAGAGAACAATCACAATAATACATTGAACTCTTAGAGGGAGAGAACAGAACTGTGGTTTCTAGAGGTGGAAAGAGGGAGAGGAGGCAGAGAGGGAGGGAGTTTCATGAGAAACTGGTTAACTGACACAAAGAACGATTATGTATCGTAGCGATGAATAAGCCAACGATCCTGATTTGACCATCACACATTGTACACAACTATTGATAGTCAGCTTCGCACCACACAAACATATATAATAAATAAATAAATAAATAAATAAATAAAAAGAAAAGCTGACTTTCAGAAAGCCACAAATTAGGAGAGCGTGGAGGAGAATACGACTTGTCTGTGTTAATTCTAGAGACTCAGAAAACAGCTAGGGTGGTTTATATACGACTTGTCTGTGTTAATTCTAGAGACTCAGAAAACAGCTAGGGTGGTTTATATACGACTTGTCTGTGTTAATTCTAGAGACTCTAGAGACTCAGAAAACAGCTAGGGTGGTTTATATACGACTTGTCTGTGTTAATTCTAGAGACTCTAGAGACTCAGAAAACAGCTAGGGTGGTTTATATACGACTTGTCTGTGTTAATTCTAGAGACTCTAGAGACTCAGAAAACAGCTAGGGTGGTTTATATACGACTTGTCTGTGTTAATTCTAGAGACTCTAGAGACTCAGAAAACAGCTAGGGTGGTTTATATACGACTTGTCTGTGTTAATTCTAGAGACTCTAGAGACTCAGAAAACAGCTAGGGTGGTTTATCACGGGGCAAGCTGACGGGCTGGGTAGAGTTCTATTGCTGTGTAAGAAAGTAGGTGGACTTAGCAGATTTGGGTGCCAGTGCTGGTGAAGCCTTATACCCATGGGTTGATGAGATGGAGAGAGGTAAGGTTGTAAGTCTGATGAAGGACTCTGAGCATTCCCCAGCTCCCGTATTTTACAAGACTCACCATTTCCTTGGATGAAGCATTCAAAATATTGTTGCAGTGACTTTGGCTTCTCAATAAAAAACTCTGAATTCAAGAAATGATAACCAGACACAATAACATCTCTGGGATTTCTGATGAGATAAATCACCTTAAGTTGAAAAATGGGAGAATGAAAAATCAATACAGCTGTTTCCCATCCATTTTGATCTTCATAAAAGCGGGGAAAAAGCCAATCCTCTAAAATGCCTATTAAATATCAATGGATTCTTTTAATAAATTAGCTACCATATTCATTTTCAAACATAAATTTTAAAGTTCCTGTGAACAAGTCACTGTGCTAGGAATATAACAATGGAAGAGGAAAGCATTGCCCCTTCCTCTGGGATATTATAATCTGCTCACTATGGGAAGCACCTGGAAGGTTTTAAAAGATGAGTGGCATTACACTTGTGCACTACAGTTAAAAGATTGTGGTCAGGTAGGAAGAATAAGTTCTGGTGCTCTAGGGTGACAATAGCTGATAATATTCTATTGTATGTTTCAAGATAGCCATAAAAGAGGATCCTGAGTGTTGTAAGCACAAAGAAATGGTAAATGTTAGGTGATAGACATGCTCACTATTCTGACTAGATTATTGTACAATATATGCATGTGTTGAAACAACAAACTGTACCCATAAATATGTACAATGAAGAAAAATTCAAAAAATAAGGATTACTAACAGGGGAATGGATTAACAAACTATGTTTACATTCATAGATACAGAGCAGTATAAGAGAGTACTTCAAAAAGTTCATAGAAAAGTGGAATTAAAAGACAGTACACATCTTTCCATGATTCTTTTGAAGTTCTCTCTTATATCCACACATATACCCAAGACCATGGATGAATCTCACAAGCATTACATTGAGTGAAAGAAGCCAGACATCGCAGAGTTCATACCGCGTGAGTTCATTTGTATGAACTTCTAGAACAAGCAAAATCAATCTATCATTATAAGTCAGGTGAGTGTTTATGTCTGTGGGTGGGCATTAATTGGGAAGGGCTGTGAGTGAACTTTCTGGGGGAATGGAAATATTCTTTTTTTTTTTTTTTAAGATGACCGGTAAGGGGATCTTAACCCTTGACTTGGTGTTGTCAGCACCACGCTCACCCAGTGAGCTAACTGGCCATCCCTATATGGGATCCGAACCCATGGCCTTGGTGTTATCAGCACCACACTCTCCCGAGAAAGCCAGGGGCCAGCCCCGGGAATGGAAATATTCTAAATCTGGATCTAGATGATGGTTGCCCAGTTGTGTAGATATGTAAATATTCATCAAACTAATACTTAAGATTAGTGCACATGCACACACATGCTAGATCACTTGGTATTTGAACATCTGAATTTTACTTTATATTCTGCATGAAGTGTTTTCATGACATTATTCTAAGCCTTGTCTCTTTCTAGGCCTCAGTTTCCCCTGCCAGGGATTTACCAAACACCAATAAGACACATGTGAATAGGTGCACTGTAACATCATTGTGCTGCTACGCATTGTGAAATTTCCAAGAGAGGAGAATATTATTTTAAGTTTCTCAATTTACTTTAAGAGTAAAACATTAAAAAAATGACACAAACCAATAAACACTTTCCAGGAAGTCATGCTTCTAAAAATGGTCTGAGATATGCGAGATCCATGGATATCCTTGGTCCCTTCTGGTGATCATCTATCAGCCATATGGAGATAATCCTAACAGACAGCTATGTATGGTAAGACACAGTGGTTAGAAAAACCAGCCATGACATCAGAGCGATCACCCTGGATTTAGGTATCAACTTATGAATGTGATTCTTCCCATATGGGCAACTCTGTGTCTGGTGCTTCTACCTTAGTGGCAGGAGGCATTTATTGAATTAAGACTGGCCAATTATTTTTTAGAGCAACAACAAGAGGGTTTACCTAGTACATAATACAGTTATAAATTCTGGTCAGGCTTAAAACATGGTTTTCCAAGATTCTGGCATTATCATTTCAGTTTGCCCCAGTTTATATCTGGCTAGGATAATCTGTGGAATGGTCTACACCCTTGTACTCAAGTATGGTTCATGGAGCAGCCACATCAACATCTCCTAATGCAGAATCTCAGTCCCCACTACAGACCTACTGAATGAGAAGGCATTTCAGCAAGATCTCCAGGTGATTTCTATGCACATTAAAGTTTGAAAGCATTGATCAAACGTGTCTTAACCATTATGTACTGACCTTGGCCTTGGAACCGACGATAGACTTGGGGAAGAGTTGGAAAGGGAGATGGGAGCTGAAGAGGCGTGGGTCCTTCATATTATCTATAAATTTATGTGCATGCACAGTCTCTATCCAGGGCGAGCGTTCCCAGGTGGGCACAGATTGATTCCACTTGGGATCCCCCTTGGAGAGAATCAGGCATACAATCTCAATCAACCAGTTTGTTCCTGAATAAAGAAGGAAAAATAATGGACAAGCATTTAAATCTGACTTTTTAAAAAATTGTGGTAAAATACACAAAACATAAAAGTACCATTTCAACAAGTTTTAAGCATACAGTCCAGTAGTGTTAAGTATATTTCCACTGTAGCTCAACAATCTCCAAAAAGTTTTCATCTTGCAAAACTGAAACTGTGTACCTGTTAAACAACTTCAATTTACTGCTCCCTCCAGCCCCTGACAACCACCGCTCTATTTCCTATGTCTATGAATTTGACTGCCCTAGATAGCTCATGTAAGTGGAATCACACATTATGTCCTTTTGTGACTGGCTTACTTCATTTAGCATAACGTCCTCACGGCTCATCTATGTTGTAGCATGCATCACCATTTCTTCCTTTTTAAGTCTAAATAACATTCCATTGTGTCTATATGTCTCGTTTTCTTCATCCATTCATTTGTCAATGGATATTTTGGTTGCTTCTACCTTTCGGTTACTGTGAATAATTCTGCTATGAACACGGGTGTACAAATATCTCTTTGAGACCCTGCTTTCAATTCTTTTGGCTATATGCCCAGAAGTGGAATTGCTAAATCATGTGGCAATTTGGCAATTTTATTCTTAATTTTTTGGGAAACCACCATACTGTTTTCCATAGCGACTGCACCATTTTGCATTCCCTCTCACAGCACACAAGGATTCCATTTTTTCCACATCCTTGCCAACACTTGTTATTTTCTGGGTTTTTATTCGTAGTAGCCATTCTGATGGGTATGCGGTGATATCTCATTGTGGTTTTGATTCACATTTCCTTAATGACTAGTGATGTTGAGCATATTTTCATGTGTTTGTTGGACGTTTGTATATCTTCTTTGTATAAATGTCTATTCAAGTCCTTTGCCCATACTAAAATTGAGTCATTTTATTGTTGTTGAGTTATAGGAACTCTTTACATACTATGGATATTAACCCCTTATCAGATATATGAAAATATTTTCCCACAGTCTGTAGGTTGCCTTTTTATTAAAAAATTTTTTTTCAGATAAATATTATATTTTATTTAAAATGCAAATGAACATTTTCATTTTTTTCAGATAAATATATTTTATTTAAAATGCAAATGAACATTTTCATCAGAAACTAGAAAAGTGATTCTACAAATTTTTTTTCAGATAAATATTATATTTTATTTAAAATGCAAATGAACATTTTCATCAGAAACTAGAAAAGTGATTCTACAAACAAAGATAGAATGTAGAAGACTAAACTCTTAAAAAACATTTTTCTTTATTATGGGGCATGTAAGAAGACATAAGCCTAATAGTGTCTCATTTAAGGCATGAAATTAATAATTTAAGGCTCTGGTACTGACAACTTATGTAACTATTTATAAATGGGTAAAAGGAGGTCATGAACCAATCATCAGTTTCTTTTTTATTATTATTTATGTAAAAAAACATTGTGTCCTAGATTTTATACTAATACCCACTTTATGAAAGAAATAGTTTTGAGTTTCTGTCTAGCTCTCTTTTATTTTATTATATTCTAATTAATTAATATTTATTTTATTGAAAAATAATATATTAAATATATTTGTGGGGTGCGGAGTTGACTATCAATACCTGTGTACAATGTGTGATGATCAAATCAGGATAATTAGCATGTTCGTCATTATAAAACGTAATCATTCCTTGTGTCTGTTAACAAGTTTCTTGCTAACCCCCTCTACCTCCCCGTCTCCCACAGGATTATTTCCATACCTTTGGGTAGATATTCAGTAGTGGGACTGCCAGATAATATGGTAGTTCTATCTTCAGTTAAAGAAGCCTCCATACTCTTTTCCATAATGGCTATCCTAATTGACAGTCCCACCAACAGTGTTTAAGGGAACCCCTTTCTCCACATCCTCGCCAGCATTTGTTATTCTCTGTCTTTTTGATAACAGCCAGTCTAACTGGGGTGAAATGATACCTCAAAGTGGTTTTGATTTGCATTTCCCTGATGACTATGATGTTGAGCAGATTTTCATGTACCTGTTGGCCATTTGTATGTCTTTTTGTGAGAACTGTCTATTGGCTTCTTTGCCCATTTTAAAAATAGGATTATTTGATTTTTTTTATTGGTTATGAATTTTCATGAAATACAAAGCTGGTCGTCACACCTTGGGCCCGGGATGTGAAGGCCAGATTCATTCGGGCCTCATACCCATTACCACAAATAGCATTTGTACCCTGCGTCCCTCACCCAATCAGCCCCTACCTTCCTCCCTTCCCCCTTTCCCACTCATACATGGAAACCAAAAACAAGCAGGAGTAGCTATTCTTATATCAGACAAAATAGACTTTAAACTGTAAAACATAAAAAGAGACAGAAAAGGTCACTATACAAGGATTATTTGATTTTTACTGTTAAATTGTTTGAGTTCCTTGTATATTGTGACTATTAATTCCTTGTCCGATATATAGTTTGCAAATATTTTTACCCATTCTGTAGGTTGTCTTTTCACTCTGCTGATTGTTTCCTTTGCCGTACAGAAGATTTTTAGTTTGATATAATCCCATTTGTTTATTGTTCCTTTTGTTGCCTGTGCTTATGGGGTCTTATTCATAAAGTCTGCCCAGTCCTACATCCTGAAGTATTTCCCGTATGTTTTCTTCTAGGAGTTTTATGGTTTCAGGTCTTATGTTTAAGTCTTTAATCCATTTTGAGCTGATTTTGGTATAGGGTGAGATGTGTGGGTTTAGTTTTATTCCTCTACATAGGGATGTCCAGTTTTCTCAGCAACATTTATTGAAGAGACTGTTCTTTCCACAATGTATGTTCTTGGTGTCTTTGTCAAAGATCAGTTGGCTGTAAGTATGTGGGTTGATTTCTAGGTTCTCTACTATGTTCCATTGGTTCATGTGTCTGATCTTATGCCAGTACCATGCTGTTTTGGTTACTACAGCTTTGTGGTATAATTTGAAGTCAGGTAGTGTAGTGCCTCTGGCTTTATTTTTATCTTTTGCTCAAGATTGCTTTGGCTATTCAGGGGTTTTTGTTGTTCCATATGAATGATAGGATTGTTGTTTCTATTTCTGTGAAGAATATCATGGGTATTGTGATGGGGATTGCATTGAATCTGTAGATTGCTCTGGGTAGTATGGACATATTCATAACATTAATTCTTCCAATCCATGAATGGGGAATGTCTTTCCATCTTTTGGTGTCCTCTTTAATTTCTTTCAGCTGTGTTTTGTAGTTCCTATTTTAGAGATTTTTGGCCTCCTTAGTTAAATTTATTTTTAGGCATTTTAGTCTTTTGGTAGCTATTGTAAATTGGCTAGCTTTCTTGATTTCTTTTGTTGCTTGTTCATTGTCGGCATATAAAAATGCTACTGATTTTGGTGTATTGATTTTGTATCCTGCAAAGTTATTGAACTCGTTTATCAGCTCTAGGAGTTTTTTTTTTGTAGAGTTTTTAGGGTTTTCTACATATAGGATCATGTCATCTGCAAACAGGGAGCATATAAAAATGCTACTGATTTTGGTGTATTGATTTTGTATCCTGCAAAGTTATTGAACTCGTTTATCAGCTCTAGGAGTTTTTTTTTTTGTAGAGTTTTTAGGGTTTTCTACATATAGGATCATGTCATCTGCAAACAGGGACAATGTGAATTTGTCTTTTCCAGTTTGGATTCCCTTTATTTCTTTCTCTTGCCTGATTGCTCTAGCTAATACTTTCAAGACTATGTTGAATAGGAGTGGTGAGAGCAGGCATCCTTATCTTGTTTCTGTTCTTAAAGGAAAAGTTTTTAGCTTTTCCCCATTCAAAATGATGTTGGTAGTAGGTTTTTCATAAATGGCTTTTATAGTGTGTAGACAATACTTTCAAGACTATGTTGAATAGGAGTGGTGAGAGCAGGCATCCTTATCTTGTTTCTGTTCTTAAAGGAAAAGTTTTTAGCCTTTCCCCATTCAAAATGATGTTGGTAGTAGGTTTTTCATAAATGGCTTTTATAGTGTGTAGATACTTTCCTACTATACCTGATTTGTTAAGAGTCTTTATCATGAAGGGATGTTGAATTTTGTCAAATGCCTTTTCTGTGTCTATCAAGATAATCATATAGCTTTTGTCCTTGATTTTGTTGATGTGGTGTATCAGATTTCTTGATCTGTGCATGTTGAACCATCCTTGCATCACTGGGATGAATCCCACTTGATCATCATAGCTTTTGTCCTTGATTTTGTTGATGTGGTGTATCACATTTCTTGATCTGTGCATGTTGAACCATCCTTGCATCACTGGGATGAATCCCACTTGATCATGAAATATAATATTTTCGATGTCCTCTTGTATTGTTTGATAATAATTTATTCAGGATTTTTGCATCTGTATTCGTCAAGGATAATGGCCTGTAGCTTTTTGTCTGTGTCTTTGTCTCATTTTGGTATCAGGGTGATACCAGCCTCATAGAATTAGTTTGGGAGAATTGCTTCTGTTTCAATTTTTTGGAATAATTTGAAAAGGATTGGTATTACTTTTTCTTGAAAGGTTTGGTAGAATTCAGCAGTGAAGCCATCTGGTCCCAGGCTTTTCTTTGTTAGGAGACTGCTGATTACCACTTTAATCTCATTGCTTGTTATTGGTGTTCAGGTTTTCTGTATCTTCTTGGTTCATTCTTGGCAGTTTCTATGTGTCCAGAAATCAATCTCTTTCCTCCAGGTTTTAAAACTTGCTGGTGTAGTTGTTCATAGTAATCTCTAATGATTCTTTGTATTTCTGTGGTATATGTTGTGTCTCCTGTTTAATTTCTGTTTTTTGTTACTTGGGTCTGCTCTCTTCTTTTTTTAGTCTGACCAATGGCTTGTGTTTTTTATCTTCTCAGAAAACCAACTTTTTGTTTCGTTAATCTTTTGTATTATTCTTTTGGTCTTTATTTCATTTAGTTCTGCTCTGATCTTAATTATTTCTTTCCATCTACTAATTTCAGGATTAAGCTGTTCTTGTTTTTCTAGTTCTTTGAG